CTAGGTACCTGGGACTTGGGGGTCAGGGAACAGAGGGGGAGACACTGATGGGTAGGAACACTGGGGAGGGTGTGGTCACATGACCTAGTATGCTTGCCAGCATCGCTTTCAGTAATTAACAAGCATTATTGAGACCTCTAATAACTTAAAGCTTTTAATATTGTATTGATTGTATATTTCTCTGTAATCAAACCCTTATATATACTGTAGTTCCTAGTTATTCCAGGTCCAGCTGTGAGTGCTGACCACTTCAGTCTGGCTCTAATCCCATTTAAAATGCAGCCCCATGCAACTTCACCAAGGTCCCACAGAAAGGCTATGCCAGAGCCAGCAACAGAACGCTGATCTGTTGCTAGGGCTGTCAAGCGATTAAAAAAATTAATCGCAATTAATCACACTGTTAAACAATAATAGAATACCATTTATTTAAATATTTTTGGATGTTTTCCACATTTTCAAATATATTGATTTCAATTACAACACAGAATACAAAATGTACAGTGCTCACTTTATTTTTTATTACAACTATTTGCACTGTAAAAAACAAAAGAAATAGTATTTTTCAATTCAATACAACTACTGTAGTGCAATCTCTTTATCATGAAAGTTGAACTTACAAATGTAGACTTATGTACAAAAAAACTGCATTCAAAAATAAAACAATGTAAAATTTTAGAGCCTGCAAGTCCACTCAGTCCTACTTCTTGTTCAGCCAATCAAGTTTGTTTACATTTGCAGGAGAGAATGCTGCCCTCTTCTTGTTTACAGTGTCACCCGAAAGTGAGAACGAGCATTCTCATGGCACTGTTGTAGATGGCATCGCAAGATATTTACGTGCCAGATGTGCTAAAGATTCATATGTCCCTTCATATTTCAACCACCATTCCAGGGGACATGGGTCCATGCTGATGACGGGTTCTGCTCGATAACAATCCAAAGCAGTGCAGACTGACGCATGTTCATTTTCATTATCTCAGTCAGATGCCACCAGCAGAAGGTTGATTTTCTTTTCTGGTGGTTCGGATTCTGTAGTTTCCGCATCAGAGTGTTGCTCTTTTAATACTTCCGAAATCATGCTCCACACCTTGTCCCTCTCAGATTTTGGAAGGCACTTCAGATTCTTAAACATTGGGTCAAGTGCTGTCTTATCTCACATTGGTACCTTCTTTGCATTTTGTCAAATCTGCAGTGAAAGTGTTCTTAAAATGAACAACATGTGCTGGGTCATCGTCTGAGACTGCTATAACATGAAATATATGGCAGAATGCAGGTAAAACAGAGCAGGGGACATACAATTCTCCCCCAAGGAGTCCAGTCACTAATTTAATTAACGCATTAGGTTAACTGAGACCCTCCCAACCCTGATATTCTATGATTATTTTTTTAACAACTGTCACCAGCATGGAAGCATGTCCTTTGGAATGGTGGCCGAAGCATGAAGGGGCACATGAATGTTTAGCATATCTGGTATGTAAATACCTTGCAGTGCTGGCTACAAAAGTGCCATGCAAATGCCTGTTCTCACTTTCTGGTGACACTGTAAATAAGAAGAGGGCAGCAGCATCTACTGTAAATGTAAACAAACTTGTTTGTCTGCGCGATTGGCTGAACAAGAAGCAGGACTGAGTGGTCTTGTAGGCTCTGAAGTTTAAAATTGTTTTGTTTTTGAGTGCAGTTAGGTAACAAAAAAATCTGCATTTATAGGTTGCATTTTCACGATAAAGAGATTACACTACTATTTCTTTTATCATTTTTACAGTGCAAATATGTATAATAAAAATAATGTACACTTTGATTTCAGTTACACTACAGAACACAATATATATGAAAATGTAGACAAACATCCAGCCTGGAGCCCCCCACCCCAAGGGAGGCTGAAGCCTGGAGCCCCGTGCCTCAAGGGGGCTGCAGTCCAGAGCCCCATGCCCTGAGAGGGCCTGAAGCCTGGAGTCCCATCCCCTGAGCAGAGCTGAAGCCCAGAGCCCTGGGGGTCACACTTTTTCTAGGGAGGGAGGTAACGATTTTTTTTATGTCCAAAGTGGGTTGGCAGCACAAAAAGGTTGAGAAATCCAGATTTAAAGAAAATCACAAGCTAATGCAGAGGAAAGAAGAGCCTAGTGCTCTAGAGCAGCGGTTCTCAAACTTTTGCAACCCGAGGACCCCCATTTTGATTTAAAAAATGTTAGGAACCCCCAAAGCCCCCCGCTCAGCCCCTGCCCCACCCCTTCTCTGAAGCCCCACCCCTGCTCACTTTATGCCCCCTCCCTCCATCGCTCACTCTCCCCCACCCTCACTCACTTTCACCAGGCTGGGGCAGGGGGTTGGGATGCAGGAAGGAGTGCAGGCTCTGGGAGGGAGTTTGGTTGCGGGAGGGGGTGCAGGGTGAGGGCTATGGGAGGGAGTTTGGGTACAGGGTGCAGGCTCTGGGCTGGGGCAGAGGGTTGGGGTGCAGGAGGGGGTGAAGGCTGCCGGGCTCCAGCTTACCTTGGGCAGCTCCCGAAAGCGACTGGCACATCCCTCTGGCAGCGGCTCCTAGGCGGGGGGGCCGGGGGTCTCCGCAGGCACTGCCCCTGCAGCTCCCATTGGCTGCAGTTCCTGGCCAATGGGAGCTGCAGAGTCAGTGCTCAGGCCAGGGGCAGCACGCGGAGACCCCCTGCTTCCGCCCCAGGGGCCACAGGGAGGGACGTGCTGGCCGCTTCCAGGAGCGGCGCAGGGCCAGGGCAGGCAGAGAGCCTGCCTTAGCCCCGCTGCACCACAAGAGTTTTAGCGTACAGAAGGCGCTGGGAGGGAGGGAGAGGAGTTGAGGGAGGGAAGGGGAGGAGTTGATCAGCAGGGCCTGCAGACCACAGTTTGAGAAACGCTGCTCTAGAGCCTTTCAGGCACACTGCTCATGAGCAGAAGAGGGATCCAGGATGATGGACATTTGCCCTGGGTAAACTGGGGGCAGAAAAATTCTCTGTTTACTTTCTCCTCTGTTGCAAAGATCCACCACATTACCTGCACTAATTAGATACAGGGCTTGGCTGCCACAACTTGCATCACTTACCAGTGTGGAGCTTCCTTATATCCCAGATAGCTTTGGTCATAATGTACCCATCCCAGGGTGCACTGGTTGGTGGGTTATTCTGCATCGTCTGAGGTGACGTTCTGATCAGTCGTCACAGACAAAGTCTTCACTTTCTTCACAAAAGTCTTTATGCAGAGATTGCAGAGTAACGGAGGACAGCTGGCCTCCAGGGTAATGGGGAACTCCTTGGTGGTGAATGGCATGACCCACAGGGGAACTTCTGAGCCCTGCCTGGACAGACTGAGCAAGCAGCAAGCATTGGGCCTGACCCCTCCAAGCACTGAGATGCCTCTCCTTCCCACTGAAGCCAAGAGGTGTTCTCTGCATTTCTACGAGATATTCAGTGTCTAGTGGCAAAGGACCCACTGAAAGAGGCCAAGCGGGAAAGAAAAGGGGCAGCACCCAACTCCTGAGCTGAGCAGGTGAGGAGCAGAAAGGTGTAACTCCCCTTCTTACAGCTAAGAACAACATAACAGACACTAATCATTGAGGACAGAGTAAAACTACAGAAAACAGGCTATAAACATCAGAGGCCTAGTGCTGCTGCCCTGACTCATGCTGATAGTACCTTACTCCAGTGAAATCAGAGGGATGCCTTGGTGACTGCGGTACAGCCTCATGTGAGTAGGGGTGGCAGGACAGGGCCCATAATGGCTAAGAAATAAGTTGCTAAGCAGAGCCCCTTCCAGAAAGGAAACAGTCCATTCGAAGGTTGCAAAAGACATTGTCAAAATAGGTTTCAGAGTAGCAGCCGTGTTAGTCTGTATCCGCAAAAAGAAAAGGAGGACTTGTGGCACCTTAGAGACTAACCAATTTATTTTAGCTCATGAAAGCTTATGCTCAAAGAAATTGGTTAGTCTCTAAGGTGCCACAAGTCCTCCTTTTCTTTTTGTCAAAATAGGGTGTCTCTACATTGCAAGCTCTCTGTGCAGGTCCTTCATTTCACTCACCGTGGAAAGCACACCTGCAATGCTGCGCACAAATGTGAAATAAGAATAAATTCCTTATAAAAAACTGACTTAGGAGGCTGTCAAATTTCCAGACAGAACCACTGAAAATTCAAGAAAATGCCGCCATAAATCTCCCTGTTCTGCCTTAACACTGCCCTCTTGTGTGTATGCTGGATTCACAGAGTTTAAAGCCTGAGGGGACCGCTAGTTCACGTGGTCTGACCTCCTGTATAGTACAGGCCATCACACTTTACCCCGTTACCCTGTATAAGGCCAATAGCTTGTGTTTGGCTGAAGCATCTTCCAGAAAGGCGTCCAGTTTGGATTAGAAGATATCAAGAAACAGAATCCACCACTTCCTTTCCAGATTGGTTCCAACAGTTAATCACCTTTGTTGTTAGGTATTTGTGCCTTATTTCCTATTTGGATTTGTCTGCCTTTAACTTCCAGCCCCTGAGTCTTGCTCTGCCTTTCTCTGCTAAAGAATTCCAATACCAGCTTTCATTACAGGGTCACAGATTATATTTTCCATGGGATCTTGCCTCATTCAGTGCTCAGGATAAATGGTGCAAAATAAAATCCTTGTGCTGTGAAGTGTGGACCTAGTGGCTGTTTCTGATGTCGGACACATATAACTGACTGGAGTGGGCAGGAGAGCACACAGTATGTGTGGAAGGGCAGCAGCGGGTGGGGCATGGGTAAGCTGTGGATAGGAGCAGAGTTTTCTTGCGATGCTGGCTAAGGGTCTGACCTGTCCCAAAGAACCAAGGCGCAGATTATGAAAACATTACACTGTTTACAAGGCTGTTCAGTCCCAAGTGCTATGAAGTTTGGATACCAGGGCCAGCTGCAACGGGAACAGAAACCGGCTCAGTCCTCCTGCCGAGGGAACAGAGACCCATCCTGCATCCTCCTATATTTCTGCCTGTCCCTTTAGTCGTAAGGGCCCAGGCCATTTCCATTCAGAGCGTTCATGCACATACCTTGTTGTCCAATGACAGACAGGGGTGGAGATCTCGATCCGGTCGCTCGAGTTTGACAATAGTGACAAATCCAGAGCTGGTGTGCTCATCCTCACTGGTGTTACACAGAGACAGCGGGTGGAACTGTGGGCACAAAGAACGAGGGAACTCAGATCTCATTGAGCATAATGGGCATGTCAGTTTTTATTTTAAACACTGTGTCCATCCTGCTAGTGTCTAGGTATTGTGCGGGATCCCTAAGCCAACATGCAAGGAGCTCAGCAGGGTCAGGCTATTGGTCCAGTGACCAGGTGGGATTTACACCATTGGCGAGCAAAAAGGGTCAGGCAGGTCTACCCAAGAACGCCATATCCCTACCCACAAACACCACACCAGGCTGTGCCCACTAATCTCAGCCATTGAGACAGCATATGGGGAGAGAGGCTCCATCAGCCAGGAGCCTAGCTCAGGGACAGTGCAGGTGCCTTTGCAAATCAGGTCTCACTTCGAAACTCCTTCACAAAGCAGCAAACTCTAGTGCATTGCCCAGTGCAGCGAGAGCTGCGCTAATGAAGCCTGAGGTAGGGCAGGAGCCTGCTGCTCTTTAAGCTTTGCACTCACTAACCAGCCTTTGCTGTTTGGCTGGAGTTGGACACAACACTTCTTAAGTGGGGAGAGTGCCCAAGAGCGGCAGTGCGGGAGGGGGATGAGTAAAAAAGCACAGGTTACCATGACCTGGTGAGTCAGACCTGGGTAAGTCAGCTCAAGGGGTCCCACAGCAGTAACTGGAATGCACGGCTTAATCCCCTACAAGCAGCAGATGCTGTGATCGGAACCGTTCATCCAAAGGTCCTAATATGCTTTGCCACTATCAGTTCTTCCAACCACCCATTCCCCATGAACCAGGTCACTATCATCACTCCCATGTTTCAGATGGGGACACTGAGGCATAATGGGGGTGGAGCTAGAGGCAAAAGTGGGTGGCACCATAGACAGTACATGCTCTACTCTGGCCAGAGAGGTTGCCATAACTTGCAACATGCCTGATGGCTGTTGATTTCTGAGCCTTTAGATTACACTAAGATAATTTTCAAGCTTTTCTCGGCAACTAGGAGAGCTGCTAGAAATGTACTTTTTAATGAAAGCTGAGATTCCCACATAATTAACCAACTCTAGATGTTGGGGCTTTAAGAAGAAGAATACCAAATACTGTGAGACTCACAAAAAAAAAATCAACAGAGTTGGCAACCTTGGGGACATAATAAAGAGATGTAATAATTAATGGTGTAGAGACAATAGACTGGGAGCAGAAGAGAACATGAGAAAATGGGGGGCATTTGATAACATTGAAAGGCAGTAAACTTAACATTGAAAGGCAGTAATTTAAAACTGAGAAAAGGAAATATTTTTTCACCCAATACATAATTAAACTGTGGAACTCACTGCCACATGAAGTTATTGAAGCCACGAATTTAGCAAGATTCAAAGGACTAGACGTGTATCTGTATTACAAGAGCATCCAGAGTCACAATAGTTAATGCTAAAAGAAGAGCTTTGGAAGAGAGAGAACCCCAGGAGATACACCCTTCTGGTTCAGGGCTGACCCCAGTCTCTGACTTTGAGGGATCAGGATGACACATTCAGGGGTACAGAGTATTCTGCAGCAGCTACTGCGGAGTTTCTGCAGCTTCCTCTGAAGCACAGTACTGGCCACTGTCAGACAAAGGGCACTAGATTGGATGGACCTCAGCTGTGAGCCAGGCTTGGAATTCCTATGTTCCTTCAAAATGGAGTGAGACTTTGCCAGAAGAGAGTGCAATGGGAAAAATTCCTAGAGTAAGGAAACAAGGAATGAAAAATAAAAAAGAAACAACTGTGAACATCTGCTGCAGCCCACAAAACTGGTGGAGAAAGAACAAAGCAGACCTGCACCAGCTCATCCAGTGTAGCAATCCCTGCTGTGCTCATGGATCACAATAGAATGAAACCAGCATCCCTGCCACCCCAAACTCTGGAAGGACATGATTAAAGCCAACCATATAATGGAAAGGAAATAAATTACAGTCACCCAGGCCCCTAACTTACACCTCTCCCAATGGAGATCTCTCAATTCCCTCCCTCCCTACACCTCCCAGAGACCTCCTGTCCCAACCAGGGCTATTTCACTCCCCCAGGGCTTTGCCTTCCTCTTCCTCCCATGTTAAGGATACAAAAAAAAAATCAAATAGTTACATTTTTGATTGAGGATTCAATTATTTGCTCCTAGAAAACTTGCCAATGAATTCGATTGGTTCCACGTGCTGCCACCTGATTCCTCATCCCTGCCTCTCCATGGCACCCTCCTCCTTGCAGCCTCCATGAGGCTCTTTGGCCTCCCATTCAAAACACCGCCCCTCTCAACTTACTGGCTTTGCTCTCTTTTCACCTGCCCCCCACTGCCTCCCTCTGCCAGCTAGGAATGCCCGTTTGTCACATTTCCTTGCGCCATGCCCCCGAGCTCGCCGGAGCAGGGACTGTGCCTGTGCTGTGCCCAGGATGACGGCCCCACCTGGCGGGGACCCTGACCGCTTCCCTCAGCTAATCAAATAAAATAACAGCAAGCATCAATCATCATCATCTGGGCTGCCCAAAGAATTACCTACAGCCGCACATGGTAGTCTAGGTCACACAGCAACTACCCCTGAGTGTGATGCTACAGCACTTAGTTAGGTAAAGGGCTGGTTAGAGGGATGGAATGGGGGGTGCCCCTCCTGGAGGCTCAGGAGGAGGGGAGTTTCATGGGGCTAAGTGTTGGGACAGGCCCATTGTACAATTTTTATTAATGATTTAAACAAGCTACCTTCATTTCCAGGCAACTTTGAGACTGGTGGGGGATAGGGTGCCAAGGGCACTGTGGGGATGGGCTATGAAAGGTAAAATACCTACAGCAGAGGTTTTCAAATTGTGGGGCACACCGCCTTATGGAGGCATGGAGGAACTTTGGGGGGGGCGAGCGGCAATGCCAGGCGGCTCATGCCAGGCTCACACGGTGGAGCCAAGGCCAGCTCCCATGGGGGGCAGGGAGGGAGTGTCACCTCCACCCCCTGACTCACCTCAGCATTCAGGACAAGGCCTTCCAGATCCTAAACCTGCTGGGCCACCAGCACTGATTTGGGAAGTGCAGAGGCCTGCTTGTTTGTGTCCCAACCTGCCTTGGCCTGGATGGGTCCATCCCCAGCAGAGGAACAATACAGGCTTAGTAAGAGCCATGCCAAACTTTCTCTTATCCTTGACAGAGGCTCCTGCGGTGGCAGGTGGCTGTGGAGGGGGGCCTCCCTGAGGCAGGAGCGTCGCCAGGGGAGGCCTACAGTCCCTTTGCGTTGTCTACTGGGCAGTGAGGGTTTCCCCGCTTGGTGTTTAGCTCTGTAAGAGCCACATGGCACTAACCACCCCCAGCCCCAGACTAGACAGGGCTGGGCCTTTCTCTCTTTCCCCAGAACGCCGGCCCAGCAGCATTGGGCCTCACTCTTTGTTTCTTTTGGGAGGTAGGGAGCACAAGCCCTTCAGGCCTCAGTGATACCCTTGTTCAGGCCAGGAGGGGCCCAGCTCCACTGGGCCTGGTGATGCTGGCAAGGGCCAGGAAATCAGTTACGACCCTAGGAAATGCAGAGGATCCTCCCTGGGGCTGGTAGAGCCCTGGGAACAGAATGCTGAGCGGAGTGGCCTGGAGGTCCTCTCTTCCCTGAGGGCAAGCAGCCAACCCCTTGACTGACTCAGCCCCTCAGGGACAGCAGCGACCTGGCTTCCAGGGCAAGGGGAGGTAAGGGGCTGCTGGAGCCCAGCACTCTGCTGTGTGGGTCAGTGACTGTCACTGCAATGCTTGTATGGCTCATTGTTATGGGAGTCCCCTGGGGCCTTACACCATGTGTCTTTGACTGGAGCAGGAGGGGATTGCGCTTTCACCCCCGGAGCCCTTCCAATAGTGTTTCCTTTCCCCACCAGGCCTGTTCAAAGCTTGCTGTGGCCTGATCATAGAATCATAGACTATCAGGGTTGGAAGGGACCTCAGGAGGTCATCTAGTACAACCCCTGCTCAAAGCAGGACCAATCCCCAATTTTTGCCCCAGATCCCTAAATGGCCCCCTCAAGGATTGAACTCTCAACCCTGGGTTTAGCAGGCCAATGCTCAAACCACTGAGCTATCCCTCCGCCCCTGATCTGTTCTTCCAGCCCCTAGCTCCTGGATGCTGTAGCATGCAGGTGTTTCCATAACCTGTCTGGGCCAAGAGCTACATAGCTGCTTTGTTACCAAACCAGTGCAGCAAAAAACACAAGGCAGTTCCACCACAGGGTGGAGCTATTAGCAGGAACCCAGCTATCCTGGACATGCTCATATCTGATCACTGAAACCATTGCACTTATCTGGCCTGTTCTCTGGAACCTAATGGAACACGAGGGGCCCTGTAAACTGAGCTGCATGTCCGTCCCTTGGCCTGGGGGCCGATGAAGCTTGTGTGCGAGCTAGAGAGAACTCCAGGGCAGGTTCACTTCCTGCATGAGTGCTTCTTTGTTATGTGTGTCTTATGTAATTATGTATGAGACCATGTGGTGAGAACGAGATTTAAGCAAAATCAGAAGGAGTGCGGCAGCATATGGCTCTGGGTGAAATGAGCCTAATCCACTCCTGTATTATCGCTCTCTGCTGGTAGCTGCCACACTTGGAACGTAACAAGGTAAAGTTCCCTGCTGAAGCTAAAGGCTCCCTTATTGTCCGTCTAAACCTTTGAGACTACGGGCAACATTCTGCTCTCTGTCACCCAAGTGTGAATATAGTGCCACCCACTTAAATACGTTTCCTCACCAGGGTCACCAAAATCAGAGCTTTTCCCTTTGATCAAACTGTTATATTAATAAATAAAGTGTAATGAATGAATTTCTATGTCCTAATGTATGAGAGACTGTCCTTGAGAGTCAGTGTACTTTAGGTGGAGGAGTTGGGGAAGCTGAGAAAATTAAAACAAGTAGTTATTGCTCTTAGTCCAGTCTCCATGGTAACAATGATAAAATCTTTCCCCCTTTATTTTGGAATGCCAGCCCCCAGTCTTGGAAGAGGCATGTGATGGCAAGTTGTTTTGCACCTTGCTTTGCTGTGCCCATGAAGCTTG